TCTCTTTCCACAGCTTATAATGAACTTGTTATGGCTACCTAAAGCAATTAATGCTAGTAGAGGCTGCTGATGGATATTTGTTTCCCAAAGACTTACATTTGACCAAAGCACATTCCTGTCACTTGCCGCAGTGCCTAAATACAACAATTTGATAAGATGCTGACATTATTATGTGCATGAGGCAATCAAATTTATTTCCTTTTCCTTGTGTTACTGATGCTTCACTTATGGTACAGTGTATGAATTAGTCTACAGCTTCATACATATAAAAAAGTAAGTTAGACGTTCTGTAGAGGACACCTATGCTTTGCATTCCATAAGAAACTTAACATACTATTTAAACTCCAGGCTAATAATGTCCTGTCTAGACTGTCTCTCTAGACACACGTCTCTTTGTAACTGCTGAGAAGAATGATCCGCTATTAAACAGGCTGCGGGAAGCAGAGAGGAATGACACGGAGCTCTCTTTCTTTCCCTTTCTCTGTCTCTCTCCCTCCCCTCTTCTCTCTATGTGTCTTTCTTTCTGTCTCTCTGACTTCATTCGCCCCTCTCTATCCCACCCCCCATCTTTATCTCCCTCTCTCCATCTTTATCTCTCTCATTCTCCATCTTCTTCTCTCTATCTTTGTCTTCCTCTCTCTCTTCCCCCTCCATCTTATCTCCCTCTCCCCATCTCTTTACCTCCCCCTCTCTCAATCTCCCCCCCTCCATCTTATCTCCCTCTTTCTATCGTTACCTCCCTCTCCCTCCATCTTCCCTTCCATCTTATCTCATTCTCCCCATCTTTATCTCCCCTCTCCATCCAAACCCCCCCTCCCTGTCTTTTTCTTCCTCTCCTTCAATCTCTCCCTTCCATCTTATCTCTCCATCCTTATCTTCTTCTCTTTACCCTTCACCCCTCCTTTTTATCTCTTTCTCTCTCCACCCCATCCCCCTTTCTTACTCCTTAATATTTCTCTCTTCCCCCTCTCCATCCCAACCCCCTTATCTTTATCTCCTCTCTACATCTTTATCTCCTTCTCTATCCATCTTCCCCCTCCATTTTATCTCCCCAACCCCCAACCAGCTTGATCTTATCTCCCTCTCACCATCTTTATCTCCTTTTCTCTCCATCCCAACCCTCTTCCCCCTCCCATTTTATCTCACTCTTTCAATCTTTATGTCCCTCTCTTTCTCTGAAGGGTCTATAATTTTTATCATAGGTGTATTTTAAATCATACAGACAGAATATCAACCAAAAATCCAGAAAAAACACATGATACAAATGTTATAAATTGAGTTTCAGTTCAGTGAGTAAAATAAGAATTTGAACCCCAAGCAAAACATGGCTTAGTACTTAGTGGAGAAACCCTTGTTTGCAAGCACAGAGGTAAGACGTTTCTTGCACTTGGTTACCAGGTTGGCACACATCTCAGGAGGGATTTTGGTCCACTCTTCTTTACAGATCTTCTCTAAATCCTTAAAGTGTTACTGAACCCAGGACCCTGCATTCACTATATCTGGTCTACCACAGTAAATAGAACATGGAAATGCAATTATTTTAGTAAATATAAACTGCTAAATACCTTTTCTCATCAGCAGTTAGAGCAGTCTTGTGACTTCAGCTGAGCACTGGTTAAAGCTTGTAGGAGTTTACTTTCTGCTCTAGGAGGATGCAAAACCCCTGACCTCTGTCTGGACAGTGCTGATTGGCCCTGTGCTGATCACATGCACTCTCCCAAGAAAAAAAAAACCTCTCTAGCAATACACACTAAACTGAGCATGTGCAGAAGGGCTACGGGTTCTTTCTGTCTTGTCAGCGTGGACATTTGAACAAGAGGAGGGGCAGAGAAGTCAAGATCAAACATCCTTTTTACACAATGCAGAGGATTAACCACTTAGATTCCACAGTGAGTATAACAAGCATGCTTTACTGCATATACAGATTTTACTGTTGTGGGTTTAGTAACACTTTAAGGTTTCTTGGTTGTTGTTGGCAACTGGAAGTTTCAGCTCTGTCCATATATTTTATATAGGATTAAGGTCTGGAGACTGGCTAGGCCACTCCACAACCTTAATGTGCTTCTTCTTTAGCCACTCCTTTGTTGCCTTGGTGGTATGTTTTGGGTCATTGTCCTGTTGGAAAACCCATCCATGACCTATCTTCAGTGTTCTGGCTGAGGGAAGAATGTTCTCCTCCAAGATTTTACAATATATGGCCTCATCCATTGGCCCTTCAATGCAGCAAAGGCGGCCTGTACCTTTAACAGAGAAACAACCCCAAAGCATAATTTTTCCACCTTCCTGCTTGACTGTAGGGATGGTGCTAGTAGGGTCATAGTCAGCATTTTTCTTCCTCCAAATACAATCGAGTTAATGCCAAAGAGCTCAATTTTGGTCTCATCTGACCACAGCACTTTTTCACAATCCTTCTCTGAATCATTTAGATGTTCATTGGCAGACTTCAGACAGGCCTGTACATGTGCATTCTTGAGGAGGGGGACCTTGCGGGCACAGTCCATGTCGGAAAATTGTGTAACCAATGGTTTGTTTGGTGACTGTGGTCCCAACTGCCTTGAGATCATTCAGAAGCTCTTCCTGTGCAGTTCTGGGCTGATCCCTTACTTTTTGCATGATCATCCTTATCCCATGAGGCAAAACTTTGCATGGAGCTCCAGACTGAGGGCCACTGATGGCTAAAATTTGTATTTCTTCCATTTGTGATTAATTACTCCAACAGTTGTCTCCTTCTCCCCAAGCTTCTTGCTGATGGTCTTGTAGCCCATTCCAGCCTTGTGCAGGTCTACAATCTTGTCCCTGACATCGTTTGACAGCTCTTTGGTCTTACCGATGGTGGTGAGGTTTGAATGGAAGAAAGAGATTCCGTGGACAGGTGTCTTATGCACATAATGAGTTGTCGTTAGGGGCACCTTCCTAAATTGACAGGACTAATCTGTGTACCACATGAGCACATAGCCGGTCTGCGAGAGCCAGAATTATTGTTGGTTAGCAGGTGACCAAATACGTATTTTACTCACTTAACTGCAACTCAATTTGTAACATATGTATCCTGTGTTTTTTCTGGATTTTTGGTTGATATTCTGTCTCTATCATTTAAAATACACCTATGATAAAAAAAATATAGACCCTTCATTCTTTGTAAGTGGGCAAATTTACAAAATCTGCAGGGGATGAAATAATGATTTTTCCCCACTGTATTCCTCTTTCCATCTTCATGCCTCTATCTTTATCTCCCACTCTCTCTTATTTTATCTCCCATCTTATTTCCCGCTCCCCATCTTTATCTCCCCCTCTCTCCATCTCATCTCCCTCTCTCTCTATCGCCTCTCCCTTTTTCACTGCCCCTTCATCATGCAATCACAGCTCTCATGCATGAGAACTGATTTTAAAAGTTTTGAGATGCAACAGTGGTACTGCTGTTGAGGTTTTTTTTTATTCATATGATGGTTCTCTTTTTACATATGATGGCAAATGAACTTGCTAAATGCAGACCCTGCAGAGTGCTTGTGAAAATCTTTTTTTTTTCTTAACTGTTCTTAGCATGCAAGTAATGACTTCTGGGCCAAGTTGAAGCTCTGACATACCCTCCCTGCATTGTGTTTTTCTTTCTAAGTCATGTAAAGCATACATATTGCTCTGAAAAGAAAAGGGGCCTACCACAGCTCCAATTTGCAGGTAAATGTCAGTGTTTACAAAAATACTTATAATAAATATAGATTACACCCACAAAATGTCAGTCATCCCAAATTAGGGTTTGGTAGTTTAGTGTGGACTCCTTGTGCCACCAACTGGTGACCAAATGTCTACCTGTAACTGCTAAGTGTGTAGTCTGTAAATAATGCAATGTAGCGCACAAAGTTGTAATAAGCCAAAGGTCAAGAAAGGCTGCCAAAAAACAAGCAAAAGAATTGCAAAATATTAGATGGGCTTATATCTAGAATAAAATTTTGAATCATAAATCAGGATGCCAGCGTGCCAGAAGGAAAATTTTGTTTAGGATTTATATTTGCTCCCTGGTGATATCAGGCAAAAAAAGGAATGTCTGTGGTTTAAAACTCAAGGAATTAATTGCCACAATTTGAAACACAGCTTTAGTAAGGTCTAAACGCATATAAAATAAGAAAAAGAAAAAAAAGGGGCGAAACAGTGCCAAACACAGTAACGCCACACAGGGGAAATTTAATATTGTTACATTAACTAACTCACCAAAAATCAAGGTGCTGATCACAGTACCCAAAATGCATTAGAAAAAAAAACAGAGAAAGGCCCCCATAGAAAAAGAGGGGACTCTCTTGTGACCCAAGTAGTTTTAACTTAACAAAAAACCTTATTAATTCGTATATATCACATATGCACAGGCATGTACAAAAATTGAAAATAGTCTCCACCCATCACCAATAAAATATGACAACGTTGTCACTTAAAACTAGGAAATCCCGGGTTAGATGTATAAGTTGTAAGATGTCAGTCCCCAAAATGGTATGTCACCAAGCTCACATTCACCACCACAAAAGGTCATCCCATATAACCTGATGAGGGAGATGTGTGGAGGCGGAGCACAGACATAACAAATAGGGGAATAACTAATCCTAATGTATAAAAAAGCTGAGAAGGAAATGAATTATGCATATGTATCAATATTGTTAATCTAAATTATATAATTATCAGCCATATGTATGGTTAAGAAATTCAACACTTCAGTTAGGAATCTAAAAACCTATTAGTCCTGACACCCTCATAAAGGTTGTACTGTGAATAATTTCAGAGGGACAGAAGTAAAGTCTAAAGCTGAAGAATGCCAACCATGTAGCTGGACCCTGGGAACATAGGAATACTGCTGGCCTGTAGCTGGTTGAGTGTCAACCGGTGGTTGCTTAGAATTGGTTACTGCAAATCGTATATTAAAAAAAAAATGAAGTGTTTATAATGGTGAGTTCTATACCAAAACACTAAATGGGAAATCTTGGAAAGTTTGATGTAATCTAAGGCTCTTACCTCCCTTTCTGAGTTCTGTTGGTCGCGATGATGGTTGTGTTGCTTAGCTGGGTTTCAGCTGATGTGTTCATGGTGCGGTCAATGCTGAGCTCCAGGAAAGTGACATTTAGGTCAAATGGCGAAGTCTCATCATTGTCGTCATAGTCGACATACAGATTGTCTAGGTTGGGTTCCACGAAATTTAGTGGTTCCCCTTGAGAGAAAATGACACTTCTGTTCAAGCTATGGAAAGTCTCTCTGGAGTCAGAGCTCTTGCCGGAGAGCTTCTTCATAATGGCATTTCCAGACAAGAACTCCTTTGAGGTAAATCGAGGGGCAGCATCATGATCTCCATCATCTGTCGTATAAGTTGTTAGATTTGTATTTAAATCTGGAAAGACAAAACAGGAAAGGCATTATTAGAAAGACATTTAAAACAACTTTTCCTGAAGGCTGTAATTGCTGACTTCTTGTTGTGCCAATCCTTTGGCTACTGTCTGAGTTACTGACTTTGGACAAGTATATGAAGAGTCAGAGTAAAGTCTTGACATGCATTCTTGTTCTAAGTTAATGACTTAAAGCATTTAAGCCAGAAGGGCAGCTTGACAGCTAGTATTTTCAGAGTGGGAAGGCAACAATGGCAACCTCCGTGTTTTTTTGCAGAAAAGCTTATTTTAAAAAAATTTAATTTCAGATAAAAGTTCTTGCAGAACATGCAGCTCAAAGCTTTCTTCAGGTGGTCACATGACCAAATACGTAGACATTTGGTCCCATGATCACTGTTAAGGGTGGGGATCAGCCAATCTGAACACACTTTTATCCTTACACCGAAAACACATGAAGAAATGCCTAGGCTTTGTAAAGGTTAACAAAATCCTTTTGTGTTTTTTCTGTTATTAGTGTTTAATTATATGTTTTATCATATATTACAGTGTTTAAATAAATGGGAGCCACCATAGTTGCTCACTGCATATGTAGGATGTGCTTCCCAGTAGAAAAGCACTTTATGACTGTGCTGTACAATTCCCCAAATTCAATTTCAGCCTGCTTGCACTGGTTGAAAACGGTACATTTGCTAGTTGGTTTATCCTGTAATCTCAGCATTGAGGACCTTGATTGCACTTTTTAGAGGTACAGACAGCCACTGTTGAGATAATTGACATAGAATGGTCACATTGCAATGATCAGTGACTTTTGCGGTGGAATACAAAAATTCTCTAAAGCTACCTTTTATGGCTTTGCATTTTGTCCTTCGGTCACAATCCATTGTCTCCCCTCCTTCATACACTTCATTTGTCTGTTGTCCTCCAGCAGAATTGAGCCTTTCCAATGAGGTCTGCCGTCCTAAACCAGGTGCCTCTCCGTTTGGTCGCCCTCTTTGGAGGTTAGCAATATAGCTAGTGTTTCCTGATGTCAGATCCTCTTGCAACTCTCTGCTCTCTTCACTTTCTGATTCAGGGAATGGGTAATACACAGGCTGAGTGATTCGTGAATGCGGCCTTCGTAAGAGAGTGTACTGGAAAGTGATGGAAGGATTCTTGCCATTTTGGTTCCAGACCTGCAAAGTGAGACAAGTGTTTGCTTTTTGTCATGTACCTGCAGTTAGCTAATACCACATAAACCAACATTAGTATGCAGTAGCCAGCACTATAATGTGCCCACGCATACCCTTGGCTTGTGATGATTCAGATCTATCATTCTCAAGAAGCCTCCAACCAGGCCACTTCTAGAATGCAAATAACAACTTTGCAGCAAATTTGAGGTCAGCCATGTCCCACCAGCTACCACATCCCACAATGTATTGCAACAGCTTCTGGAGCTGAATTTTTATCCAAGATAAGTACTGACATCTTATTATGCCTCCTTCTGTATTTCTTTATGACAGGTTCACGTTAAAAAGAACCATCACTTTTGTGCTTAAAGAAGAATTCTAGGGATTTTATGTTTACATAGTTACACTGATCCAGCTTGAGCCATACCTTACCTGGCCCTTAGAAGCTGGATATCACTGAAGTAGACTACGCTGCTTTAGTGATCGCCACTTGATTCTGGGTCCCATGCTGAGATGCCAGCCTGATGCATTGTGAATACAGGAGGTCAGCCGCTTGGTTCAGGTATCATTCAGAGAATGCTTTGCATGCTCTGAATGAATGCAAAGCATTCTAGAACTTCGAAGTACTTCGAAGAACTAGAAGCATTCTAGAGCATTATAGAACTTATATCAGTTTTTTTGTTTATGTTTGGTATATGTTAGAATTGCTGTCAGTTTATTATTTCATGTATGTGTCTTTCTTTCCCAGTGACAACACTGCTTTCATTTTTTGTCTTGGAATCAGATGCATAGCAAGTATGGTAAAATTTCCCCAATGGGGTCACAGGTATCAATAAAAACTTGATAAAAGTATTGAATGGGAAGTAGGGTCAAAGCTCTTTTGGCCCTAGTTCTCCTGGAGATCACAGGAGTACACTTTGTTCTGCTGATATCGCTCAGCAGATCCAGACTTTGGAAGGATCCTGACTTTAATGTTGGGTTCCATCCAAAAGCCTGGATCAGCAGCAGGCTCAGCCTCTCTGTGATAACAAAATAAACCCATAGGAAGGACACAGTGGTTACTTTTAAAGACGAACATGGGGACTGGTGTACAAAAGAAAACTAATTTTATTATCAAAATCTTATATCAAAAAAGCTTTGGTTGCAAAAAGTAGAGATGTACATAAAAATCACCAGCATGGAAAACAAGCAGTGATGGGCTTAAGATGTGTATTAAAAAGACACTTGACTACAGACAAACAAACAAGATAAAAACAAATAACTTGATATAAATACAAGAATTGGTCCGGACGCCCAAATCAAGCCATGCAAAGGAATATACCATGGCAATTGCCAAATATAATAATTTATAAACCAGTCAACTAGGTATTTCCTGTGCATGGGTTATTGGGAATTAATTGTGGCCACTATATCAGTAGTAGGTCCAAAATTGTAACATGAAAAACTAATGTTCAATCAACACTAATTATCAATAATCTTATCAAAAATATGTGGCTCAGGAGGAATGAATATATCAGTTCCAGTCAGATATTAAATGGAATCCATTTCTCCTTTTACTGGCGACTTATTTCCCAGGGGAATGGTATTCTGATGTAAAATCCCTGCATACAGATTCCCATTGGGAGTAATAAGGATGGCGAAAAGCAAGTAACATTATGTCCTCAAACTGAATGTGGCTAATGCAAATGCTTCTGGGCACGGTGGGAAAAAGAGTGGAAAGTATAGCGCAACAACAAGCATATTTGACAGTTTATGCATAGCAGCGACAGAGCAGTAGGCAAAATGTTAACATAAGGGACTGTCACTTTGTAATTGATGAGATCAGTCCCAATCCAAACATAGTCTGTGGTGTCAAACGTAATGGGATAATAGTTCCTCCTTATGTCTCTTCCAGTATTTAGGTATGAACACTACATACATTACAAATCTCAGGGCCCTTTATGTGTTACAGAGGAACAGTTTAAAGTGAACATACTTATATATTATGCTTCAGGAAAAACCTGAAGGTTCATTTATTACTAAAGGGGCCAAGGTCTCTAATTTGTAAATCCAATTTTTTTCTTTTTGTAAAAGTATACGGTCAAACTCTCGGTTTCTTAGGGGCAATTTAAGCATATATATGCCACATATTTTTGATAAAGTCATTGATAGTGTTGATTGAACATTAGTTTGCAATTTTGGACCTACTACTGATATAGTGGCCACAATTAATCCCCAATAACCCACACAAGAAATACCTAGTTGACTGGTTTATAAATTATTATATTTGGCAATTGCCGTGGTATAATGCTTTGCATAGTTTGATTTGGGCATCCGGAACAATTCTTGTATTTATGTCAAGTTATTTGTTTTTATCTTGTTTGTTTGTCTGTAGTCAAGTGTCTTTTTAACACACGTCTTAAGCCCAACCATGCTGGTGATTTTTATGTACATCTCTACTTTTTGGAACTAAAACTTTTTTGATATAAGATTTTGACAATAAAATTAGTTTTCTTTTGTACACCAGTCCCCATTTTTGTCTTTAGAAGTAACCACTGTGTCCTTCCTATGGGGGTTTTTCATTGTTTAGTTGTGTTTAAAGGGTTACGACGTCAACACCCATTTAAAAGTGGAGGTGAACTGGTAGACTATATTTGATTAAATAACCTAATGCATTCTTCTTAGTAATAAGTTTATTTATAGGATCAAAATTGATCCTTTATTTTGAGGTTGTATCTATAGACTTCCCAAAATTGATACAAGCATTAGTAGTATTTTGACATAGCTACTATATCAGGAGAGATGGCCTTTGTGCTAAGGGAAGAAATTGATTTGGGAAAATAGGACAGCATTCCAGAGACACACACGGCCCGATCCTTGAGTCAGGAGAAGGACATCTCAAGTAGATTTAAAGAAGAAAAAAAATTTCAGTTAAACATCTGAACAGAAGGTGGGACTTGTCATTTCTGGAATCCTATATTCAGCATAAAATAGTCCCACAAGGACTATGGGACAAAGTGGTCCTAGAGCATCTTCATTATGAAATGTTCCTCACAAAGTGGAAAACACTCTGTATTGAACATGGCTTAGCCATGATGGGATTAATAGAAGAGGAAAAAAATCAACTAAGTGAATTAACAATAATAATAGAGGAGAGCTCCTGAGGTTTGGAGCCTTTCAAAGACACCGATGAATTTCAGAAACAGAATGAAAACCTAAAAAAAGAAAAAGACAATCCAACATAATTAAAAAATTACGAAACAATCTAAATTTAGAAGAGATTTAACAGATTGGGAGACAGGAGACATCTTTGATTTAACAATCAGAAGGGGGAGGAGTAGATCACGGAGAAGAGGTCACTACTCACAATCACGATCAGGAGGTGATAGAACCTCAAGTGTGCAGATGAGGAAATGGTCCCTAATTCAGTAACTTTTTTAGATCAGGAGGGGGAGAGCTTTCGGAAAGTCGCCTTATAGAGCCCAAATCGACTCTAAACAAGAAGATGTAAGGAAAAGGGAAGAATGGAGTAAAAATTTGCAAACCAGGTGATGTATGAACACCGACAAGGAGTCAGAAGGACTAGTTAGGATGGAATTAAGACTTAATGGGCCATAAAGATAAAAAAGTAATCAATTTATCACACTTCCCCCTAGCCTCAAGACACATTAAATTATTACAACAAGGAATGTTTTTTTTTCCCGGTTGCTAATATGGATGAATTCATTGTGTATAAAGATATAGTCCTATTCTTGAGAAAGGTCTTCTTTAGATCACTTCAGGAGAATAAAAATAAGATAAGTTTGGAGGAATCTATAAGAACAGATGAGGATAGAGAAGCTTTAAGCATACTTACTCTGTTACAAG